TGGTCTTCGGTCAATAACCGCAGGACCCAACAAGCACAAACTTTCCTATAGCCCAAGCTTTCAATCATCTCCTGTACTGCACTGTACCCTATTCCAAGTTTTCGGGCTATTGTGTCCACAGTCACATGCCTGTCATCTTCAATGATCTCATCCACTCTTTCCTTGTTGCGTTCATTAGAGGCTGTAGTAGAGGCTCAGCTTCGATGCTGATGTTCCCATCTTTACAATGTTTCACCCATCTTCGAACACTGCTTGCACCCATGCACACACCTCCACAAGCACGCTGAAGTCTCTGGTGAATTTCTGCAGCAGGGATTTCCTCTTTCACAAGAAATTCGATGACAGCACACTGGCGAAACGACATATTGTTGTCAGCCATTTTGTTAGGAGTGATACTGGTCACATGATGCAAGCTATTGACGTCACAAGACACTCAAGGTTAACACAACAGCTGGTTCCACCTAACACCATACTCTCTTTCATCTGCTGTTCCCAGGTTGTATGCAAAAAAAAGTTGCTCATGACTTTTGGTACGACCTATGTACATAAACAAAAGTATCATATGCTCTTGAAGAAAACCACTTAACCTCCTGAAAGTAAGAAAAAGATAAGCAGTGTATTTAATATGCAATGCAGTGTGATAGTAAAATTTATGATTTTCTAGATTGTATAAGATATTTAACTCATGACTTTTTCTTACTTTTAGAAACCTGTACTTTCCTTTTTCATGATTTCAATTATGTAAACTTCACTGCACAAAAGGAATCCTACCAGATACAGTACTAGTAGCTGATTGTCAGAGTGTAGCCATCAGATATTTTCATGAATAACAGAAGAAAGTTAAGAGGGACCAGATTTACTTTGTTATAAGGTTCTACTGCAATCTTGGAATAATCATTTCAGCATACTCTGAATAAACTCATTGCCTTATTGTTTATATGTTATTTGCATAGAGTGCATACTACTGACATCCAATTGAGATGGTACAAATGCCCAGAAATTATTCAGTGGATTTCGATGAAATTTTATATTGGGGAGTCCACTGTAAACAGTCTAGGGCAAATTTAGTTTTGGTGAATTTAAGTCAACTATACTTTACATGAAACCTAAATTTAATAACATTTCTTGGAAAAGGATCATTGTACCAAAAATATATTATATAAAGTAGAAATTTTCTACAACTTTAATTTGGAATTTTTTTATGTGATATATATTAATGAAATGTAAACAAAAAATAATTTCTGCCTCTGTACTATTTGATGATTAGCTTTGCAACAGTAGATTTGAATCTGCAGTAAGTCAAAATAAAGATGAAACAGCAAATAACACATTTTGAAAGTATGAGTTTGCATACTGTAGTGAAATGCATGTTGGCATGCCTGCTTACTTGTCCATTGCCCTTATACATTTTGGAACATTCACATCAGAGTGTAACTTAAAACTGAACATCTCCATACTAAACATCTGGTTCAAAATTTCTGCTGTACTCTCTGTTTACTGAGTTGACTGACTTCTAGGAAGGCATAAAGGTAAAGGAAAGTAGTCCCTGTGCTTAATTAATTATGCACCATGCCAATAATACATGTGGGGGGAGTAAAGGTATAGTTCTACCCTTCCTGACCTTGGCACTAGATGGAGGTGAGTGGCCATCTTCTTGTCCCTGCTGCTTTACCAATTGGATAGGAGGCTGCTGGGTGGGCCCCAGAGTTGGTCTGGACATTGTGGAGAAGAGGAAATCCTATTTGTGCCAGAAATCAACCCATGGCCATGTAGACAATAGCCCATTGCTATACCAGTTAAGCTGTCCCAGCCCTCTCATATAGTAATTAACTCCACAGAGCATGGTTCTTCTTGAGAAGATAGTATAGTAATTCACTTTGTCAAGAAATTCCCTGGCTGTTATGGAACTTGAAGATTTATTATTGTGTTCACAAGAGCCTACCACTGGTCTCTATGTGATGAATCCAATCCATAATCTCAATGGGTTCCTTTAAGACCCATTGTAATATTATCCTGCCATCTAAGCCTGCAGCTTATAGTAAAAGATAAGAATAAAATTCTCCTGTGACAAATTAAGCACTATTCCATGAAGATACATGGGGGAGTAGAAATGCTTCCATGCATTCTTAACCTTGGCTGTATACGAAGGTGAGTGGTTTTCTTCACGCCCTGGGACAAGAGCCTCCTGTACCCACAGAACAAGTGTCTGGTTGGGCTACAGGGATGGTCTGGACACTGTGGAGAAAAGAAAAATCACTTATCCCTGCCTAGAATAGAACCCAAATTCTTGACTATCTCGTGCATAACCTTGTAAATATGCTGAGCTAGAAAATTCTGTTATGCTATTTTAGATTTTCATGGCAGTGAAAATCTTGCAAGTGGTCATACCATATAGTCTTGTGAGTGGTTACCAATGTTCTAAATATGCATACTGCCTCCATCTTCACTTCTACCCATAAGATGGAGACAGTATGTGCTTAAAAAATGATGGTAAACACCTACCAGGACACACTATTTCATAACCTAGAAGATCACAATATAAAGAAAGTCCCTTGTTTATTGAATAGATCTAGTTTGTTGCACCTGCCTTTCTCACAAAATTACTCTCTCACACTTGCTTCTGCGAAATGCTGGTTTGTTTCATTTTATGAAATTTTAATGAAAGGGTGAATGCATATATCTTGCATGAAGTTTCTTGGTTTTTTGCTGCAGTTTAATGTAAAATTGGATTATATGTAGTTAATGCATTCTTCCATCTATATCGAAACTTCATCATATATATCCTAATGAGAAATAAAAGAAAATGTAACACTATTCATTGCTTTCCAGACAGATTATAAGTGGAGAGGGTATCTATGCAGTTTGCATGCACACTCTTCACTTGATAAACAAGGACACTGGGTATACTCATAAAGCCTACACTCCTCTTGCACTGACTCCTGTTCCTACAAATCTTGTGCTTTCAGTATCATATTTAGATAATATAAATTTCAAATCCAACAGAATAACTGCATGTAGATCATGGCTAGCATACTGGACTCATGAGTAGACGGTCTTACATTAAATTCTGGCCAATTTGAATTTATATTGCCTGCAATCATAAGTATGCTACACTTTGTTTTCATGTTTTATAGTGCTGTTAATGTGTCTATGTAAAACTGCTGGCACAACCGCAAAGTTCTGCACATTGCCATGTCTGTAATTGTTGACCTAGGAACCGTGTTTCACACACAGTAGCTAGGTATTTTTGTAATATACCTCTGTACCAAATTTCACATGCTTAGCTACAATGATTCATTAGTTACTGCCATCAGACTGAATGCTAAATATAGATTTACATTCTACAAAAGAATCTTCCTTAGTATGAATTTCATTTTATAAAATCTATTACTGTACACAATTTCAGGACCCTTAACTGCTAATGTTGCTCCCACCTCACAGGTTCATTCATCCACCATGTTTTTATTATCAATTGCAGGAAACTAAAAATATAATTGGGTGACCTCTAGTGACATAATGTTCACACCACATATCATGAAAATGGTATATTGATTCAGAAGAAATAATGGGACACACACCAATTAATCTCATCAGCCTAATATGACTAACAAAATATGTATGTATCTTAATGAGTATTTGTTATGTACAAACTTCTTGTATGAAAAGCAGTTTCTGAGAAAATTTATTGAAGTTCACGTTCTGTATAAAGTAGGGTCTACATCTGAATTATACAAACCAGTTTTTATTTTTCAGAAAAAGTTCTTGATCATGTGCCTATCAATTAATAAAACAGTCAAAACCAACCACTCTTTATTATCCTTTATTCATTAAACAGAAGATGTATGCATACCAGTCCTTAGTGGACCATACTCATTGTCCCCAGTGAGAAGTGATATTAATTTTCTAAAATAAAATTTGTCAAGAATATTTCAGTTTGATAGTAACAGTTGATTAAAACTAACTAGCTTTTATTACATTTTAGTTATTAAACATATGATGTAACATATTTCAATCCTTGGCAGATCATCATCAGTATCATGTTCAGTGCTTCACAGTTTGGTCCAATTCAGTATGTAATTGTAGTTGTTATTAATATATGCCTAAATATATTAGAACTATATTAAAAGATTAAAACTGCATAGCTGAATCTGAAGCACTAGACATAATGACAACAATGATGATCCACCAAGGATTGAAACATTTATATCTCATATTTAATAAATAAAGTGTAATAAGGGCTGGATTGTTCTGACTGTTATTAACAAACTTAAATTCCTTGATAACTGTTGGTGTAGACAATTCCATTTCTTATCAAAATCCCATCAATAATGTCAGAGAAGAAATGATTAAAGGGATAGACATGAGCTACCTACTGTGTGTTAATTTTGTCCCCTTTGTGCATAAAATGCTTAAAACACCATTTTTTTTTCAATAATTTACAAACACAACATAGTTTAAATATTCACTCCAATGTAATCAGTATCTCACAACAATCCATAAATTTTAATCACATAAAAGAAACATTTTAAAATACTGAATTATGAAATACTGTATGTTATAATATCACTGCTATACTTTCTTTCTGATTAACTGACATGACACATAGGTACAGTATTTGGAGTACAGTTCCCTGAAAATTATTGCATTGTTTCAAACTCAAAAATTGTTTTCTTCAAAGAAAGGAATGTTATCTTGTGCTATAACACAAAGTATTTATTCATGACATCTATTCACATTACATTTACATAACAGGCTGAACAACTTGCAGCAAATGTAATTCAAAATTAAGCAAGAGTTGCATCAAAGAAAACAAAGTTGCCCTTCTGTATTGAGATAATTTTCTTCGTCTTCTTTTACTCATTTTGTACCAATGCCTTAGACAGAAGTTCTACTGGAAAACTTAAATTGCTGTGCATATATGGTTATATCAATTATATCTTCTCTGTACAATATGTTCTATTAACAATGACTGATGTTAGAATAATAAACACCAAAGTAAATTGCTATATACATTCAGGTATTTTTGATGCCTGAAATTGTAAAGATCACAGAACTGACTATTAGACATCTCTCATGATGTACATGAACACATCTGAAACTTTAATAGAAATAAATTAAATTAAGTTATATGTAGTGAATGGAAAATTGCATAAAAATTATTTTATTATTATATTATTAAATCAAAATTCACTCACTTGAGCACCACACAATTTTTATATATTCACTTTTTATGTTCATACATACTGGATTTAGCATTAGTAAAGGAAAACCAAAAATAATAATTCTGTTTAATTTTTGAAATCCAATTTTACAGAATGAAAACAATATGGGAATTTATAATAGATTGTGAGATAATTACTATACAATTCTATTTCTTCTGCACTGTGTAAAGTCTTGAATATAGCAAGAGGTAAGTGGAAAATGGATGAAAACCACTATATAATTCTTTCTTTCATTATATCAGGCTCATGTATATTTGTTCTCATTCAACTGTAAGAGTGCAGATAATGAAAACTGAAGGTGCATTATGCATGCATGTTCTACTTTTCTCTGGGTTGGTGCAATGTCAACGTAAGGTTGTTCAGCATTCTGTCAGTATTGCTGAGTGATGAATGTCTATATTTTACAGTAGAAGATGGTGTTTCTGGATCACGCCTATTTAAAGGTGAAAATCTAGTACATTCAGGAGTGACTGGTGTTCCTGGAGTTGACGGAGTGTTGGGCTGTGATGAATACTGTGGGTTTGTTCTATACTGGGCAGAATAGTTGATTGTCTTCTGTGGAGTTGTTGGTGAAAACATGAGTAAATTAGCATTTCCTAATGAAGAAGAGCCACTATTTGGTGGAGTAACTTTACGTAAAGTCAAGCGCCTTGGAGTTATCCAAGGAGATGTCTGCAATGCAGAATGTTTAGAAACCTGAGGAAATGTGATTCTGTCTGCAAGACTTCCAGTGTTCATATGAGTTACTGCAGAAACTGGAATTGTATTTATTTGACTTGGCATGGAGCTGAATTCTTTTGAGTTGGATGGTTGTACTTGAGAGGTTATGTTACTGCCGCTATTACTGTCAGTAAATGATGGCGTTCCTCTTTGTAGTTTTTGCTTAAGAAGTATGAATTGTTGTTTCAAATCTCTATAATCTTTATCTTGTTTTTTAATAATTCCATTCAGTCTCACTATTTCTTGTTTGGCAGCTTTGTATTTCAATATAACATTGTTAAAATATGCAGTAATCCTGCTACGGTGACCTTCCTGAAAAGCCATAATTTGTAGTGCACGTTTCAGCACGTCCTCAGGAGTTCTGAAATATTCCTGGATATCAGCATTCAATTCTGAAGTTAGTGGAATCATAGTAAATGTATTTCCACAAATCAGACATTTCTTTGTGCCATCGGATTTGACGCAGTTTTCACAGTATACGTGTCCACAACTGGTTAATAAAAATTTTTTGTCTTTTGACAGGTTTGGTAGTAGGTAACACGAATTGCAGTGTATCCAGTCCATTTTTACATGACACTATACAATTTCACTTTCGAACTTCCCTCTCGTATACACACGAAGTGTAGAAATGTATTAATTTACGCTATCAGTAGATGGCGATATAGACCAGATAGTTTAGACGGTCAATGGAGTAGTTTGATTGGTGTATTGTTCCAGAAACGGAAATAGTAACAAATAATGGTAAGGTTTAAAGGTCATTGTTTTATGTGTTTGCTCATATGATAATACAATTATATAAGAGTGGTATTTTTTAACCTGCAAAGTATGAATGTCATTGCATTAAATGTGCAGAAATGATAAATGGGATTAAGTTGGATCGAGTTGGATGAAGGTCATTAATATTGACGATATTGACTTCACATTTGCGTAATTTTGTTGGCACAATCGTATTAGTTGCGTTGAAGTCTTAATATGTTCAGCGATCGTCAATTGCCGCAAGCGAAATACGAATTGCTTATTGAAAATAAACGGCAAGTAACATTCGTTTTGTGATAATACGACTGTAATGGAACTGGTTAATGAAATTATATTTATTCGTTAATGTTTTATTTTAGGATCGGATTAAACTGCAGTCGAGCACTCAGAGCAGCAGGTGTGGTTGTTGCCATTGTTGTAATTACGTGTTTAACAGTATATATTTCATGGAGAAGCTTGAAGTCAGTTGATGACAGAGGCTTTGTGAAGAAGCTTTGGGAACTGAATTTAAAAAATTACGGCCCAGGTAATCAATGAAAATACTAATAACACTAGACATTCTTTAACAGGATAGTGTGCCGTAAATTTTGTACAGTTCTACTGCATAAAGGTACAAATTTTCTGATAGTTCATGAATGCTACATCATTTCCTTTTAATAATTCAAAACGCTTCTAGTGCAGTTAAAGGCCTGATTCTTATGTTACCACGAATTGTGATGAAACCTATCCCGATTTTTTTCTTATTCATATCCATGGATCATTATACATGATATAGGACAAGTCAAATTTTGGAAGAGTTTTACACTACAGTCACTGCATACACCTGACATTAAATTTGAGATTTGTTTCATTTACTAGACCTAACAAACTATTCTGAGCTTGGTGCTTGTGTATACATTTAAATTTATTTTTCATTTCATTGATCCAATCATCTCCCCATAGGGCTGGATATGAAACATGTCACATATTACAAATTCATGATGGATACACATCATTCATCCTTGGTCCAATAAAATATATAATCAGGCCTCACACAGATAGCTCAAGTTGTCAGGACAACACACATAGGTCATGGAAAAACCACTGTCAGATTCACACCTTGCCATTCCTCACACACTGACAAGCCATATGATCCAAACAGTTACATTATAAAATATTAACATTCATAACAAAAACAGACATCATACATACTACTACACTTACAACAAGCAAGTCACAACAATGTATAATTCATGCACACAGACCATTTATTAACTCTTAACTTTTGAGCCCCTTGCATGCGTGACAAATTCATCAATAGAGTAAAATATAAATAATTTTGTAAAAGAAACCTAAATTGCTTTTTATCATTTTTTAAAACTGATATTTGATGGCAGAGTGTTAAATAGCATGACACCTGAATAATACACCCCTCTCTGATAGGATGATAAATGTGTTGAAGCTATGTGAAGGTGGTATTTCCTTCTGGTACCAATGACATATACAGAGTTATTGGTTTGAAACTTATCCAAATTATTAACAACAGATATCATCAATGAGAGCAAATATACACGTAGGATTGGTAGTATGTCAAGCTTTTTAAATAAATCTCTATATGTATGAGTTGGGCCCACTCCCATCATTATTCTTATTATTTTCTTTTGTATAACAAAGACCTTGTGACTGTCTGATGTATTTCCCCAATATATTATTCCATATTACACCAATGAATGATAATATGCATAAAATACAGCTTTAAGACTATTTATATTTAATATATAGGATAATTTTTGCATTAGAAAACCAACTGTGCTCAACTTATGAAGCAAAAAATCGATGTCCCTTACAAATCAGATGATTGTTCAGCTGCAAACCGAGAAATTTTATCATTTCTACTTCTTTCAGCTTTTTGTTAAAAAACGATGTATATAGAGGGTAGCTCGTAGCTGCTGTTGGGGTGAATTTTGCTAGTTTTGTGCTTGGTTTACTGTTTCACCCGGAAGATGAAGGTGATATGTAACATACATACATACATTTCATTTCATTTCAC